AAAATAATAAAACTAATTTATAGAAAAGAAATTCCATGAGTAAAAATTCGTTAAAATCACTTTTATTTTTGTTATTTAGTTTAAATAACAAAAAAATTAGTTTAAATAACTTGCAAGAAAATGGTATTGTATACGCATTTTTAAACTATGCAATTTTTATAAAAACATAGTCCAAAGTATAATAGAAATTACTCAAATAGTTTTTAATTAAAACTATTCAAAAATACGTAGTATTTAAATAATTCAAAGACAAGTAATATTCAAAAATAATTCAGTACTATTTTTAGGAAATACGATTTCAAAAAAGCCGTATTATTTCAAGATCCACATTGAGTTAAAGGTTGCCAATGTTCTGCAGTGCAATGGAAAATAAGCGACAAAAAATTCAAAGTTGAGATTTTTATATATTTGGTATTTTTCATATATGAAAAGCTTCTTATGCCAAAAGACTGTTCGTTTTTTTTTTTTTTTTTTTCAAAATTAAATTTTCTTTTATCAGTTTTCTTAAATTCTATTTTAGCATTCGTAGCTAAATTAACTTTCAACTCTGAAAAAACATCGTCTTTAAAAGGGCACTCAGATTACAACTTTAGGTTGTAGATCTCTTTCAGAGATCGTCAAAAAGAGCTCTCTAAATAAGAGATTCGCACAAATATTTTGAACACATTTTAATCTACTTATTTGTTTTGTTAAAATTTTTTTGTTTTTATAATTTTTCGTGTTTATTTATTTGACCTTTTCCTCATTTTGTGCAGAGGTTTGTCCGGTCGTTGAGAAAGGTTTTGAAGGTCTCTTTTAAAGATTTTCTTAAACACAAAGTCTATGGAAAAAATTATTTGCCTCCTAAAAGCGATCGTAAATAGAGTAGGTCGTTACATGGAAATGGTCTTTCCAGGAGGTTTCACCAACGAATATATAAATGATTCAAATACGCCATCTGGGGAGAAGATCAGTTTCATGCCTTCGACCCTTCCCTCTCCTCCTCTTTTCAGTTGTATCGGAATGCTCTACGATATTTTTCCTTTTCTTAATATTTTTCGTATTAAAGTGTTAAAAATATTTTTCTAAATTTCCATGTCCCGCAGTGGACTGATCGTTAAGACACGGTTCCCGGCAGATCACCGAAGTCAAGCATCACTGGCTGCGGTCAGTGTGCTGGTGGGTGACCACTTGGATCAGTCTGCGTAGGGACCTAGGGTGTGCGATATTGGTCCTCGTTAAACTGTTCTACCGTAAAGTGCTCGACTTCGCGTGCAGGTCGTCGGGCTACCAAAGCAGGGATGCCATCCCCTCTCTGCAGAGGATCAAAAATTGTGATGGTATGTCTTCGGATCATCCTCAGGGATGTTTCACAGATCGTCGCCAATAGCCCATTGTGAAGCTCTAGTGCTACGTAAATGAACTAGAACAACTACATCAAAATTTCCATGACGCTTTCTTTAAGAACTATGTTTAATGTTGTTTTCAGTTCCATATAGTTTCCTAACTTAAAAGATTTTATTAATCTATTTCAACATCAAGACAGAAACTAACGTACTTCCTTCTTCTATGACTCTCCACACGCTAATGGTGAAAGCTTGGCATTCAAATATGAAAGGGTGAAAATATGTGAAATGTTTCCATAGGTAGAGAGTTCTTCTCTACGCTACCTGTAGCCCATTTCGATTGCCAATATACAAGTAGCAGTATAAGTTGGTCCCCAGGGCCCGACTTATCCTAATTGGGGACCGGGGCAAAAACTTCTTTGGGGGCCCACTGTGCGTCAGTAATGAAGAACCGAACTTTATCAAAGTATTTAAATTTTTCACCTTATTATACGTGTATCACAAGAAAATTGACTAGAACCTAAAATAGCTATTAAGTCCCCCCCCCCAATGGTCAAATGAAATATCGCTCTGTCCATATCTTTGATTTTCTGACAATTCTAAGTAAATCATACCGAATGCAGTTTTCTGACTGTTAACTTTGTCATCTAGTTGCAAAAAATTCGTATCCTTGCTGACATGAGAATGGTATTCAGCTAAATTTTCGCAATTGGGTATAATATGAAAAAAACACAACTACTTCCACTTCGAAAATTTTACTAGGAATAACATTTACCTTTTAGTTTAATTAATAAGATGAGTTTTAAATATGTTTACTAAATTCATAAACTTAGATAAAACAACAAAATAAATTATTTCAAAAGGAACTAGATAAATACAATTCCAACCTGCCGAGTAACGACTTATAACAACACACTTCTTTTAATGTTTACTTGTTGCTAGAAATCAGGTTCGCAGAAAATGCTGTCTACTAGTTAAATTTAGTAGTAATAACACTACCTGTGACGTAGGCTATAGTATACCCAATTACGATGGCTCAATTGAGCCAATTAGAAGCATGTATTTTTGCAAACATATTGTATTTTATGATATGTAAAAATGCAGGCTTTTGATTGGCCCAATTTGTCCATCGTAATTGCGAATTAGCTGTATGGATGGTGTTTTCTACACTAGGGAACGCTGCAAGCTCAGTACCGCCTAAATTTACGGGTTACTGTTTTCGTTGTATTTTAAAGCCATTTGGCATCATTGTGTTTTGAGATTCTTGCAAACAATGTATTTGATTACTTATTACTTCTGTTTACAATGCTAACAATACTTGTGTTTACAATGCTAAAAGTGTTAACACTAACATAAGATGGTGCTCAGCTTGCAACAAGAACAAACAGTAATAAACTTATGGAAAGAGGGCTAATCAAGACTGCCAAAAAAGTGAGTTATTCAAAATCTAGCAATCATGTCACTTTTTTTAACAATATATCGCTAAATAACTAAAACAAGTTTTCTCTTCAAACTCATCAGAATTACATAATAACGTTATCTTATGAAATACGGCAGATTTGAGATCAGAAATTATCTAATTTATTTCTTTTATTGAAAAGAAAATTATCTGTTTGAAAATATCGCCTCGCAGAATAATATGCAGTAAGCAGCTGCAAACTTTCTAACCGGAACTAGAGCATGCATAGAGCTCGAGATACATTTCTACTGAAAACACCATCCATTCCGCACTAGGAAGCTTAGAATTACGTACTTCAGATTTTTTTTTTTTTTTTTTGTGTTCATATGGTAGATTAATGAGAAACCTAACATAAAACTGGCGGATTTTACAGTGTACTGAGATTTTGTTTAAAAAAAGTTCATTAAAAAAGGAAACCTAAAATAAATTTTCTATGGATGGTGTTTTCAGTAGAAATGTAAACAATAACAACCTCGAGCTGTATGCCTGCTCTAGTTCCGGTTAGAAAGTTTGCAGCTGCTTACGGCATGTTATTCTGCGAGGCGATATTTTCAAGCGGATAATTTTGTTTTCAATAAAAGAAGTAAATTAGATAATTTCTGAACTCAAATCTACCGTATTTAATAAGATATTAATGTTATTATGTAATTCTGGTGAGTTTGAAGTGAAAATTTGTTTTAGTTATTTAGAGAGATATTGTTTAAAAAGGTGACATGGTTGCTAGATTTTGAATGACTAGCTTTTTTGGCAGTCTTGATATGGCCGCTTTCCATAAGTTTATTACTCTTTGTTCTTGTTGCAAGCTGTGCACCATCTTACGTTAGTGTTAACACTTTTAGTATTGTAAACAAAAGTAATAAGTAATCAAATACATTGTTTGCAAGAATCTCAAAACACAATGATGCCAAATGGCTTTAAAATACAACGGAAACAGTAACCCGGAAATTTAGGCGGTACCGAGCCTGCAGCGTTCCCTAGTGTAGAAAACACCATCCATTCGATTTCGGGGTCCCCTCTGATGTGGGGGCTATGGGCAACTGCCCGTATGCCCCTGCCTTCATCAGGCTCTGTTGGTCCCCTCGAATAAATTTTGTCTGCTAAGCCAATGGTTCTTACAACGCGTTGCTCTTGTACCACGCTGAGTTTGCACCACGTATTTTCAACTTCCGTTGAGATACAAAGAAAGCTTGAAAGGACCTATCACACTGCAAGAGAAGATTTCACAGATAAATCAATTTAAAATTTGATTAATGGAGGGTTGTTGTTGTTAATTCACGTCGCACTGAAGCTGCACAATGGGCTATTGGCGACGGTCTGGGAAATATCCCGGAGGATGATCCGAAGACATGCCATCACAATTTTGATCCTCTGCGGAGGGGATGGCACCCCCGCTACGGTAGCCCGACGACCTGCGCGCGAAGTCGAGCACTTTACGGTAGCACAGTTTAACGAGGACCAATACCGCACACCCTCGGTCCCTACTCAGACTGATCCAAGTGGTCACCCACCCGCACACTGACCGCAGCCAGTGATGCTTGACTTCGGTGATCTGCTGGGAACCGTGTCTTAACGATCAGTCCACTGTGGGACAATTAATGGATGGGTGGTCTAATGTAAACAATAACAAGCGTCCTTAAACCAGAAGAAATTTAGAAAATTTCCGGTGTATCCCTCCGCTTATGTTATGACTACGAGGCGATGTGTGAACAAGCCTAATATTCTATGCAGTCTTGATATTGTAATTTGGGTTCAAATCTAAACATAATTGTACCATTCATAATAGCTTTCAGAAATGTATTGATTCTCAGAGGTCGTAAGGCCAAAAAAATTTTTGGAAAGTTAATATCTCATTGTGAATAATTCTTAAGGTTTGCCATGTTTTGTATTTTATCCCTTATTTGGCTACATTTGAATAAAATGTCGCCAAAAATATCTTTAAAAGTATCTTTTTAAGTTAGCCTAATTAGAAAATATTCTAATGATTATAATATTAATATGATAAGGCTGAAGTTTAAAGGCTGAAAGAAAGAACTCGGTACATGTGAAATACTGCAAAAGATATGATGCAATAATATGATGGCGCGTTTTCTCAATCTGTAGCGTAAAAATATATCGGAATCAGTAACCTGGAAGTCTTGAAAGAGCAATTTTACCACTAGCGCCACCACCCTTAGCTTTACACGATCACCCTTAGCTTTGTCAGCTACTCGGTCGCATATGCGATTTATATTTCTGCAGTGTAAATGGTTCTTTAAGCAGTTTTTATCAGATCACAATAACCGGAAATACGAAAATAGCGTTTAGTGAGTTTAATCCTGCATGAAAGCTGTAAGCACTTAATCCCGTCTCAAAAAATATTTCTCGAATCTTGCTGTTATCAATCAAACCGCGCGCTTATTTGTATTCCTGCACTATGATTCCTGAAATGTTCTTATTTTAATTAAAGAATAATTTTTGTTCTTTAATAATCATACTCGAAGTTATTAAAATAATTCAAGTAAGATTTTTATCCAATGTATATTACTAAACTAAAATTCTTAGGCTATTGATTGCGAACTTTCTTAAGATAAAAATATAAACGTGTTTTAAAACACCTAAAACATATTTGTACAATATGTTAAATAGGGATAGCCTTGAAGGTTTCAGATTAATTTGATTTATTTAATACACCATCTTAGTGCTACATATGTATATTTAATGTCCTTTTGAAGGTATTCTAATTAGGGTGACCTGGGGTAATTCCTGATCAAAAAACGCAAACATCTATTTTGTGAAAAAACTATTCAAAATAGAATTTTAATATTTACTGGAAGTTTGAGGCTATATGAGATGAGTCCAATGCCACCTTCTTTTGTTTGAAAATCTAATTAGAATTTGAAAGATTTTAAGTTTTTAGTGATCAGGGATTATCCCTGGTCTTGATCATTTCTGTGGTAATTCCTGATCATTTCTGGCGTAAATACTTATCACCAGTTTTTATTGTAAAGGGACTGTTTAAAAATAATTATATAATGGTAATTAACAAATAAGACATCAAGATCAAACAAATAAACCAAAAAGATATGTTTAAGCAGCTAATAAAATGATTTATTTAAAAGCAGGAAGAACGATTAACACTTTAAATTTTCAAAAATCTTTGGATCCTGCCATACATTTTAGGCAATCAGTCAACTCATTTTCATGTTCTTCTGAAATATAAGAGAGTTCCCATGTGGGTTACTTTCGCTGGATTTTTAATCTTCATTAAGGGAAAGTAAAGTAAGGTATGTCAACAGCTCTGGCAGCAGCTCTCACACTGAAATTTTCATTTTCAATCATTAAAAGAAATTCACTAAAATTGTTTTCTAGAAGCTTAGTATCCTTTTTAGGCTTATAATTTCTCACCATATTTATACTAGGCTAATTTATAAACTTAAAAATTATTCTAACAATTATACTAGGCTAATTTATAAGCTTAAAAATTATTCTAACGATGTACACACATCAAATTAAGATAGAAGCAAGGTAAGACAAATCAGAAATGGTGCAAATCAGAATACAGTCTTGTATACAGTTAAAAACAAATTTTGTGATGACAGTTAAAATATATTTTATAGTTGTTCCACTTAATAAATATGAACTGTGATATAAGAAAAGACAATTAGGTATTTATAAGCTATTTTATATACTATTTATGAGAAGAAATGACAATGATCAGGAATTACCCCAGTGATCAATAATTACCCCATCTGTAGGGGGCAACATTTGATATAGTTTCCTATAATCAATTATAATGTTTGCAGTAGATGTGAAACAATTAAACAAAAGCTTACACTACTTTTATATCAAAGAAAAAGAAAGTGACTCAAAATATTTATTATTAAGAGAAGAATCTTTGCAGAAATGTGCACATTTTGAAACCCATCTTTGAAATGGAAAATACAGAAAGCAGTTTAAAAGATACTTATTTTGTTAGATTAAACAAAAAATTATTATTAAGTAAGTGTAGTTATACTCTAGTAAAGTGTACAAGCATTCTTGTCCATGTCTCAAATTTTAAAAAAAAAATAATTTTTTTAAAATAAAACTTAGGTGATCATTATTTACCCCAGAAACAGAGTAATCGTGAATTACCCCGGGTCACCCTATTTATTCCTGTTTTATTTGCAGAACTTTTTAGTGCTGTAAGCTATTCGTTCAATGTAAAAAGTGAATATCTTTGTTGAAATCCTCATTTTATTTTCAGTGCAGTAACTTTTTCATTTAAAATGTTTATTTCGCTTAATTATAATTTTTATATTTCTTTACAAGTAATATTTTTTGTATGCAGAAAACTTTGCTGATTATGGCTTCAGATGTAAGTAGAGAGTTTCTCCACTGTTTCCAGTGTATTCCAGAAGTTTGCAGTTGCAAATTGCCTAATTCTGAGGATGCAAGATTCAATTCAAAAGAAGACAGTCAAGATCTGTTTGATGAAAAGAATTTAACTAACGAGTTTAAAGCTTCTGTTCAAATTGGCAATGATCTACCAAGAGAAAACGAAAATGATATTGAGTTTAAAGTCCCACCTGTACCTGATAGAGGTATGATGAATATTTTTACCTTTTTTTCTGTGGTGAAAGCAACTGTTTTAATCTCAACAGTTCTATTTTTTTTTTTTTTTTTTGGTCATATTTTTTATCCGTAGCTATTAGAATTAATTTTCAGGCAATCAATTTATCAAAGATTAATATTTATTCTGAACTGGTGTTAAATGTAATTCTGGCTTTAAGCAGTTGCTACTATGATTTAGTTCAGGGAACAGTGTTTAAATATAGAAGTTCATTTTTACCTGCTGGTTTCATACACATCAGAGTAAATGTGAAAAATTTGGGGGAGTTAAAGTTAGCTTGAAGCACAATTTCCTTTTTTAAAACTTTTAGCTCCTGCATCAAAATAAAAAAAAAACATTGGTTAAGTAAGAGAATAATTAGAGGAAAGCTGTAAAATTGTTTCTGAAGTTGTGGTATGGGCCCTCAATAGAAACCTGAACCCGCCCCAAGTGAGTTAAGCCATCATTTTAAATTTAATAAGGGGATCAAAAAGAAAGAAAACTTAAACATTACTATTAGAAAAGTCAGATAATTAATTTTTTTTAATGCTAATTCCAATAACACCAAAGCGTAGTTGATTGGACTAGTTCAAAACTTATAAAGGATTCAGTAAGTTGGATAGTGATTAGGTAGTCTCTTTACATTAGACCTCAATCTCTACTCTTGGAAATATATTCTTCTCTGTAAATTGTTACCATATTTGACAGCTGAGGAACTAGCCTATCAGAGAAAATGAACATTTTTGTTAAACTTTCTTCTTAATTTAAAAAGAAATGATGCAAACTTCTTTCCCAAATATTTGTTTTGTTTTTAAAGAGGCTTATAACAAACAAAATTTTTACAACAAATAATTCACTTAAAATAGATAAAATATAAACATTGGTGCGCTGGATTTCCATCAGCTTTCCTTAAAAAGCTATTTAAAAAAAGCTCCCTCACTTTCAGGCTTCCCTTTGGAAAAAATTAATACAATGATTAAGTCAAGGTTGCTATTAGCTAAAACTCCTGATGCTCAATAAATTTCCCTCTGCTTCTAGTATTTTTAATTATTTTAATTTTATTGAGTTTTCTTTAAATCTAGTTGAAAGGTAAATTTTCTAACTTATATGCATTGCATAGCTGTTTTAATAAAACTAGTTTTATTAATGTTCCCCTTTAATTTTTTTCCTGCTCTTTCATATTTTTTGCATAGTTATTTAAATATAGTTTTTACTGTATGATATACTATTAAGCAGTTTTGTATGTAAATATGGATAGTGTAATTTACTAGTGTTTGGCTTTTTTATTCTGATAGGTTGTATAATACTGCTAAGCTGATTAATTTTTTTTTTTTTTAATTTATCTTAAATTTAGTGTTCAAAAAAAATTGTTGGTTAGTTTTCAAAAATATTTCAATGTGGTAATTTTTTTTTTTTATAGATGAAAACTACTTGCCTTGGCATGACTATTTTATGAGTTTATGTTACCTGACTTCAGCTAGGAGCAAAGATCCCAAGACAAAGGTGTGCATACATTTATTTATTTTTTACATTAATTTTTTTCATATTTCTTTTCTAAATATGTTAACATGTAGTACTGTATTTTGTCCCTCACATTTTTTTTTTTTATACTTAGTTTTGAACAACGTCTAAAAATACTATTCAGCACTAGTTATTTGGCTAATTTAAGCATATTTTTTTAGTATCTCTTGTAACTTATTCTTAAGTTAGAAATGAATTTAAATCTGCAGCTAACTTGATGCATTTTTTATTTTTATTAAAAATTGAGACTAATATTTTTTCCTACAAAATTTTTATTTTGTATGTTTCCAATGTATATTGATTAAGAAAAGATTTAATGAATAATTGCATTATTAAATCATTTTTACTGCACCGTTTATTTATTTTAAGGAGCTGCATTTATGTTATAACTTCTGATCTTTTGATCACATACATTTTTTAGGTTCAAGAGATGAACCTAAATTATGCTAATTAAATATTGCAGACAATATTTTTAATTAGAAATCAAACACAAAAATGTACTTAACCTGAAAAAACATACGTGTTTCAGCATATTCAGATTTTTGTCTCAATATATTAGGTAAATTAAAAATTTCAACTGCACTTCAAACCATTTTTTCTTGATTTTGGATGTCTAGTATACGAATCTGCTAAAGAAAAAGTATGTTTATTCAGAAAATGTACATTTTTGTATCTAATTTTGTAACTTAAAAAAAAAAAATTTACCTGGCTTAAAGTAAGGAAAATACAGTGTAAATAGTTTTATAGGAGATTAGTTAATTTTATTTTTTGCATATTTCACCTTATCTTTAGAACTAATTAAAGAAATAAAAAAAAAGTTAAGAAATATTCCATACAAATTTATAAAACATATTTATCCTAAGATTATTCCATTTAAAAATATTCCAAATTACGACCATATAATTAAATAATAGTTATAAAAATTTGAAATTTTAAGGATGCAAACGTCACCATTAATTTATATTATATGATTTCAAACGACAAAAACTAAAATTTGAATGAATTTCAATAAAAGTTTTTAAGAAGAAAAAAAATTTCGAATGTGGTTTTTTTATATAAAAGAAAATATAATTACTCAGAAACTATTTGATGCATTTTGTTCAAATTTTGTATTTTGTTATTTCAAATTACATAGTTTAAAAATAAAATAAAGCTTGTATAACTTACAATTCAAAAAGTATTGAACTACATATTAAGTTATGAAAAGTAGAATTAAAAAAGTATAGTTTGCATTAAATTGTTTTTGCATTAAAAATTTTACAATCATGTTTAAAAACTTTTTGATTTTCTTAAAAATAGCTCCAGAAATATGAAGAAAAATACGAAAAATAAATGTCGCAAGTTTACACCTGTATTTTATTTGCAAGTTTTCCTCTAAAGATTGCATATTAGATTTAAAGCTACTACTAAATTATCCCCGTCTTACTTTTTGCTATGAAAATTTTGAGTTGTTGCTCTTTACCCTTTACAATTTATATTTTTTAATTTAAATCAAATCAAATATACTTTCCTTAGAATAAAGCTCACATTTTAAGATAAAAATTTGGTTTTAATCTTTTCCCTTTATTTCAATCCATTATTTCAATTTTCTTCTTTTCCATTTATTTCAATATATAAAAAACTTTTAATATAAATTTATAAAAGTCAAAATATATATTTTTTATAATTGTTTAAGACTAAAAATAGTCAATAATTATTATAGTTCTCTAGATAAGACGAAATTAGAATGGAATTGATTGAAAAACTTAATTAAAATCTATGTTAAATTTTTTTTATAAGAAAAATTTTTACTGGAATAATCATACACATATAAAAGTAGCAATAATACACATTTAAATATATATATATATATATACTTTCAAAACTCATTGTGCATTTTAACTTAGTAGTGCTTCTTTTTTAATACAATAGATGTCTAAATCAACTGGAAATTTCTTGACGTTGTCTGAGGCTATTGAAAAATATTCTGCTGATGGTATGTGTTGATTTATTATTATTTAAAAAGTGTAGTAAAAGTAATATTAAAGCCTTCTTAAAAAAAAGAAAGAAACGAGTGAAACGGGCAGCACAGCTTTTCCTCTTAACAGCAGGCATTATTGTTCAAAACAATCCACAAAAATTCCAAAAAAATTAACAAAATTTAAATAATTAGAAAGCAATCTATAAAATTTAAATGGTTAAAAAGCTATTAAATATAATTAGTTAGAAAAAATATAAAAAAATGTAACTGAAAAATATAACAAAGAATTATCGAAGATAACAAGGCACTAAAAAAGCAAACGCACACTCAAACAAAAAAANCTTAGTGAAAATTAGGTATATTCACTAAATTTTAAAATTCACGCTAATGTAATATGCATTATACATTCATTCAGTTTCATTAATTCTAATTCACTTCATTAAATTTTTCATAAAGTTTCGCTGATGCTAGTTTTAAATGTTGTCAATCCTATGTCAATTGGAGTTTTTTTTTTTTTTTTTTTTTTTTTTTTTTTTTTTTTTTTTTTTTNTTTTTTTTTTGTTAATTGGAATTTTTTAAAGTGATTTGAAACAGCTATCTAACTATTAACCATTTGTATTATTAGCTAATAAATTTAATAAATATTTTTTTTTTTGTTGTCAAATAAGCATTGTGATTTAAAAATATACAATTTCTAGGCAGGGTAAAATCTGGTTGACATGTACTTTAGCATATAACAATGCTGAATAGGTCCTTGAAAAATTTGATTTTAAGTCCTTGAAAGTCGTTGAAAAGTCCTTGAATTTTTTATTAAAAATTGAGTGGGAACCCTGTATAATTATAATATTTAAAACTATTTAATTTTCTGTAAATATTTACCAATTTTGACTGCTAAAGGAAGATAAAGTTCTTCGAACATTAATTTTTATATAAAAATTACTGTATTTCCTATCAGCATATTTAAATTCACATAGGGCTCTTTGTTACTCAACCTACTATGCAAGTGACCCTTCACTTAAAGAGGTTGTGTTACCCTAACTTAAAAGTTAATTTCAAACTATAATTTCTACTGACAAGTAATTATCATTAATTTTATTTCTATATTAGAATATATATTTATTTTAGTTTGATATTTTTAATGTACTAGAACGGCAATTCTCAATTTTTTCGACTCTGGAACCCTAACAACATTAACTTTCAACATTCTTTTGACTGAACCAAGACTTTTAATATTCTTAAATCTGATAGGTGATCGTTTTATATCTAATAGATGAATTCACTGTCTTGGGGCTAAATCTAGTCTCATTATGAATTGATTGATGGTGTATTATCACATACCCGCCAAGATTCCTGTTTTTTAACAAAGACACCTGTATTTTATGACTATTTCCTGTTTAGCTGTATATTCTCAAATTTCTCCGTATTTGTTGAAGAAATTTAAAAAGTAATGAATTTTGGTGATAAAATATCCGCTGATGGCAAGAATACTTCTCTTATTCTTCCTCTTTCAGATGGTGCGACTGTAGTATGTTGAGTGTTTATAGTTTTAAGTAATTATAAATAATGGTTTTAAAAAATCTTTAGATTAAGATTTATATAATATCTTTTACTTCTCTAAATGTAAGTGCTTATATTATTTCCAATTTTGAATTTCTCTTTTTGACTTACATTATTATGCATGATGTATCAAAACTTTACTTATAACCTTAAAAAAATGTCGCTAGTAAAATCTCCGTTATTTTATTTCTCTAATGTTGGCAAGTATGTAAACATAAAGCTTAAAATCAATTAATTAAGCAGAATTACGGTTTTCGTTGAAAATAACATTAAAAAGAACCGCTATATGTGTTAAAAATTGCAGTTAGAGAAACATATTTCTAGTTATTTTTTTATGGTTTAAAAAAAAAGCGTGATAAGAAGCAATATTTTACAAATGCATGTCTTTTTCATAATTTATTCAATACCTAGTTATTTGAAAAATTGTATATGTGATTTTGTTTCTCGACACTCGATTGACATTTTGCTTAAAATAATATTGTAAAGTCGACAAAAATATCGTGTAAATAAGGGATTATTAATAGGATTTAAATATAATTACAGGTTTTTAAATGTTAAAAAAAAGAAATAGCCCTAACTTTAATGCCATTTGGGAACCACTGTACTAGAAAAAAAGCTGTACACAGGATTTGTTCACAGTATGTAAATCTACCTGGAAAAGTCCGCAAAAAAATTTCTTCTTTTTCGAGCATGAACCCTGTTTACAGTTATTTTGATTTCTTGAGTGTCATTCTTCAGTTTTTAATAGTGTCTGATGCTTGTCATATCCAAAACTTAACACTTTTTCTAACATATGTTTTTATGTTATATCTTATCATTATAATTTTATGGTTTATTTTGTACTATTTTTTCAGTTTGCCATGCTGAAATGAATGCTATTATAAATAACAGATACTGTGATTTTAAAGATTGCACATTGTATGTTACCAAATTTCCATGTTCTGAATGTGCTAAACTAATTGTGCAAGCTGGTTTGAAAGCAGTCTTCTATGATGAAAAGAAACCTGAGCCTGAACATGAAACGATTCCAGGCATGAGAATGTTTAAATTAGCAGGAATTCAATGCAGGTAACTTGCACTTTCTTAATGGCTATGCATTTTCTGGTTAACTTTTTTTCCAATCTGGCAATGGACTCTTATTTACTCTTGCAATTTAGTATCAATCCCTTAAATTCTTTGCAAGTAGACAAACTTATTTTATAGTTCCGTCATTAAATTCAAAGTAATATGTTAGATATTTTTTAACCCTTTGATGCATAACCATTTTCATACTTATTTCATTATTTTGTATTAATTTATATCAAAATTAATGAAAAATGTTATAATTAGCATTTTAAAGGGACATTGGTGTCCCATTTGCGTCAAAGGATAAAAAATTTAACTTTCCTGGAATATCAATTAAATATTTTATTTTAAGAATAATACTGAAAATTATCTGCAACTTGGAATTTGATTTGGTTTTTATCCAAGTAATTCTGTCTTCTTCAACTCTGCAGTATAATTGTTCATTATATTTAGAATGATGAGAACAAATTGAAAAGAACAGTTGTGGTAAACAGAATAGTTTAAGTGATACAATTTTCAATAATCTTTCAGTGTATATTATTGGTTTTTCTTAATTGTTTTAAAAATTGTTTTCATTTATATCCTACATCAAAAGAGTGCACCGTCTGTGATTTAGAGGTGAAATGCAGCCCTTAAATAGTCAGTGTGTAGTCTCTTCATTTCAACAACAAAAAATACATAATTTGCATATGACAATTTTATCATTATTTTATCATTATTTTATAAACTGATTTCACTTAATTTTTAAAAGCTTAAATTATGTAATTAAAACTCCGAAATGTAGAAATATGAATTCAGGAAGTATAAAAATAAAAATCTTTTGATGTTTCAATCGTTTTCTAAAGGGAAAAAAACACTAATAACAATTTTGATTTAAACATTTATTTAAAATATATGTTATTGCTGTAATATTGATTTTAAATTGCTATTCGACATTATATTCTGTAAAAGAGGGAAAAATATTTAAGAGTTATTTTTTTCATAAAGAAAATTTAAAACTAGTTATTATTTAATTTTACGATAGGCAAGCTATACAATTCTTCATGTCTTTTATTTTGAAAAATATTGTTCTTATTACATTAGGGAATATTTAAATTATTTTTAATTGATATGGTGCAAGTTTTGTGAACCACACTGAATAACTTTTGATCTAATGATCTATCTTCACAATTTTGGGTTCAATATTAATGGTTCGGGGAGATGACCTCAGAAACGGTAATTAGTTAGTGCAGATAATATTTTAAGTTACGAAATCAGACACAAAACGTTCTTCCTCAATAAATATATCTTTTTTTCTCAACCAATTCGAATTTCTGACTCGCAAAATACTGAAAGTTGCCTTAAAAATTCGAATCTGTCAAGAAAGGGTACATTAATTCAAAGAAAGTATGTTTTTTTGTGTCTAATTTCATTATCTAAAGTGTTGTCTGCACTAATTAATTTACATATTTGAGGTCACCCCTTTGAGTTATTAAGAACTGAGGCCTAGAACCAACATGAAGATCCAATCATTAGATCAAAAGTTATTTAGGGTGGTCCATTTCTTTTTTTTTTTCTTTTGCTCACTGTACACCTGCTATAGCAAGAAGTAATTTGTATGACGAGTTTACGAAAATAATCATAATATTATATAACTGACACTCAAAAATTGAATGTGTGTGACCCACATTTACTTGTGACAGATGATGTTATTGCCTAGAGCACAGGTAAAAGTTGCATTGCTGTAAACAAGAACATAATTTTATGAAAGACAATCTGTATGATTCTTCAAATGTCTTTTTTTTAAAAAAATATTGTTAAAAAATTTATCATTCTATTTTTAAGAAAAATTGATATTGGTCTTATTACATTCAGGAATAATTAAATTATTCTCAGTTGATATGGAAATAGAATTTATTTTAGCTTCCAAAAGCCAAAACAAAACATACATTTTTTTCTGTGAGCTTTTTAGAATAAGGTTGTACAGAAATGTACAGCCTTATTATTTCTCAGAAATCGTCCATCAGAGTTAGAGATTATAACACAATTCTTTGAGCTCAGATTTTAAAAATCAATAGATAAAATCTACATTGCATGAAATGCTTATACGTTCATCTTTATAAAATCCAGTGAAAAGCAAAAAATATTGATAAAATTTCTTTTCTTGCATTGTCATAAGAATAAAGTAAAGCAGGAACAAAGTCCTTCAAATCTGATTGGTTCAATTTTTACATGTGTCAGTAGCAATAAAGAGGTCTAAGGCATATTTAAAAATGATATTGGTGCAACTTTTTGTTGACCATTCTAAAAAAACTTTTGATCTAATGATCGCATCTTCATGTTTTAGGACTCAATCTTAATGGTTTAGTGGGATGATCTCAAAAATGCTCATTAGAGCAGATAATATTTTAAATTATAACATCGTATACAAAAACGTTCTTTCTCATATTAAACATAACTTTCTTTCGACGGCTTTGGATTTCTGACCCTCAAAATATAGAGAGTTGCCACATTCTCAGGAGAGCAGTCCAAATCTTTGACCTCTAAAGGTTAATTTTACTTTTTGCGTATTTCATCATATCTCGAGAACTTTGTATTGTCTCTTACAGGTCGTGCCGTCCTATTTTTTCCAATTTAATTATTTAATTCTTCTCATCAACTGAGAACAGTATTCGGCAACCACGATTTATCTTAAGAGACAACAAGCCCCCCAATTTTCCACGCTTTTTACTGGCTTTACCACTTCTGCCGCTCTCATTGTATTTTTTTCGCAAGCTTTGTTCCAATTCATTAACCATGGTGACAAGATGTGGATTGTTTGTCAGAAAGAGCGCTTTCATCTTTCGGTAAAGTTTGGTTTCATTCACACTCCAGAACACCATGATTGCCCTCTTTGTTTTTCTTTGCGAGCATTTTTCGGTTGGTCGGTCGTATTGTATCGTATGATATGTTATCATATCGGTATCGTATCGTAATATACTGTGTATGACCGACTTCTTTATTATGCCTTTGATTTTCTTTACTCGTATTTTTATGCTGTTAACAATTAATTTCAATATATATCGTGTCGTATTGTATTGTATTGTATTGTATCATATTGCATCGTATCCTATCACTATCATATCGTATTATACTGAGTATGGTAGCCCTCTTTATTATCCCTTTGATTTTCTTTACTCGCATTTTTAGGCTGTTAATAATTAATTTCAATATGTATCGAATGATTGCGTAGTGTATCGGTATCGTATTCTACCATATCATATTGTTTTGTATCAGTATCGAACCGTATTGCGTGGCGTGGCATAGCATATTTTGCTGTTATGGCCTTTTAAGTCTCTCCATATCATACCCACCCCTGTTCCAGATCATTATGTGGCTACTACAACAGACCTTAACTGTGATGGCCAGTTTGTCAATAGACGTCTTTGTGCCGTCCTATTTTTTCCAATTTAATTATTTTATTCTTCTCATCAACTGAGAACAGTATTCGGCAACCACGATCTATCTTAAGAGACAACAAACCCCCCAATTTTCCACGCTTTTTACTGGCATCACCACTTCTGCCGCTCTCATTATATTTTTTTCGCAAGCTTTGTTCCAATTCATTCACCTTGGTGACAAGATGTGGTTTGTTTGTCAGAAAGAGCGCTTTCATCTTTCGGTAAAGTTTGGTTTCATTCACTCTCCAGAACACCATGATTGCCCTCTTTATTATCCCTTTGTTTTTCTTTGCGAGCATTTTTCGGTCGGTCGTATTGTATCGTATGTTATCGTATCGTATTATACTGTGTATGATCGGCCTCTTTATTATGCCTTTGATTTTCTTTACTCGTATTTTTAGGCTGTACAATTAATTTAATATATATCGTAGCGTGTCGCATCGTATTGTATCATATCGCATCGTTTCCTATCAGTATCATATCGTATTATACTGAGTATGGTAGCCCTCTTTATTATCCCTTTGATTTTTTTTCCTCGCATTTTAAGGCTGTTAACAATTAATTTCAGTATGTATCGTATCGGTATCAGCATCGAATCGTATTGTATTGTGTGGCCTGGCATAGCATATTTTGCTGTTATGGCCTTTTAGGTCTCCCCATATCACACCCACCCCTGTTCAAGATCATTTCGTTGCTACTACAACGGACCTTAACTGTGATGGCCAGTTTGTCAATAGACGTCTTTGTGCCGTCCTATTTTTTCCAATTTAATTATTTTATTCTTCTCATCAACTGAGAACAGTATTCGGCAACCGCGATCTATCTTAAGAGACAACAAACCCCTCAATTTTCCACGCTTTTTACTGGCATCACCACTTCTGCCGCTCTCATTGTATTTTTTTCGCAAGCTTTGTTCCAATTCATTCACCTTGGTGACAAGATGTGGATTGTTTGTCAGAAAGAGCGCTTTCATCTTTCGGTAAAGTTTGGTTTCATTCACTCTCCAGAACACCATGATTGCCCTCTTTATTATCCCTTTGTTTTTCTTTGCGAGCATTTTTCAGTTGGTTGGTTGGTCGGTCGGTCGTATTGTATCGTATGATATGTTATCGTATTGTATTATACTGTGTATAATCGGCCTCTTTATTAGGCCTTTGATTTTCTTTACTCGTATTTTTAGGCTGTTAACAATTAATTTCAATATGTATCGTATCGGTATCAGCATCGAATCGTATTGTATTGTGTGGCGTGGCGTGGCATAGCATATTTTGCTGTTATGGCCTTTTAAGTCTCCCCATATCATACCTACCCCTGTTCATGATCATTTCGTCGCTACTACAACGGACCTTAACTGTGATGGCCAGTTTGTCAATAGACGTCTTCGTGCCGTCCTATTTTTTCCAATTTAATTATTTTATTCATCTCATCAACTGAGAACAGTATCCGGCAACCACGATTAAGAGACAACAAACCCCCCAATTTTCCACGCTTTTTACTGGCGTCACCACTTCTGCCGCTCTCATTGTATTTTTTTTGCAAGCTTTGTTCCAATTCATTCACCTTGGTGACAAGATGTGGATTGTTGGTCAGAAAGAGCGCTTTCATCTTTCGGTAAAGTTTGGTTTCATTCACTCTCCAGAACACCATGATTGCCCTCTTTATTATCCCTTTGTTTTTCTTTGCGAGCATTTTTCGGTTGGTTGGTCGGTTAATCGGCTGGTCGGTTGGTCGTATTGTATGGTATGATATGATATCGTGTCATATTTGATGTCACCCCTTTGAGCTATTAAGTACTGAGACCTAGAACATGAAGATCTAATCATTAGATCAAAAGTTATTTAAGGTGGTCTGTTTTTGTTTTTTTTCACTGTGCATCTTTAATGTCAGGAAGTAATATTTATGACCAGAGGTCTGTCGAGGCCAAATTTACTACCCTTAAGCGGTACCTTCACAAATTCAACTTCAGGAAAAACGGTACATTCACGAAATATTTTTTCTTAGAATTTTACTTTGGAAACCCGTAAGAAATGATGAAACCAAATTTTTGTGTTGATTTTTTAATATAATTTTTAATTTTCACAAATTATGTCTACATTTTCACGAAAAAGTTACCTCTCATAAAAACCTAGACAAACCCCTGATGACGAGTTTAAGAAAATAATCAGAATTTTATATGAATAACAATCAAAATTTGAATGTGTGTGTCCAACATTTTCTTGTGGTCTATACTGATGGTGTATTGCCTCTAGACCATAGGTAAAAGTACTCATAACAAGAAACATCAATGAAAAGCAATTGCAGAAATTGCAAACAGCACTAGTGATTCATTGGGAAATTTTATTCAACATAATGAAACAAATTATGTATTGTACATATTATAGATAAATACAGACTATAATATTAGAAAAGATATTCAAAGCTTGAGTTAATGTTCAGTAGTTCTTTTATGATAGCAATGGTTTAAACAAGTCTTACTGCAAGATTCTTTGCAAACTTCGCAAGCTCTTAATATACGATAGCCTTGAAGGTTAAGATAGAAAGAAATCACGGCTTGATAAATCAAGTGATCGTGTTGGTTCTTTAGTAGAGTGTCACCTATCAGTGCACAATGCAAGTCTAGTAGTTGCCATTTGTTAAGCAATTCTTTATCCTTATGTAATGTACTCTTTCTCAAAAGTTTGTCGCTGCATTTTAGAGATGCCTCTAAAGGTACCAATTACACTGCAATATCTCCAAGTTTAATTAATAATTTTAATTATATATTAATCTACATTAGGCTATCTATCATTACCTAACATATTATTTTACAATGGTTTAGATGAAGGTGGAAATCTGTTATATTGTTTTTCATTTTGTGTCAGCAAATATATTATTTTTAAATACTATGAATATATTATACATAAATCTATGTTATAGATAATTTTATTCATTAATTGTCATTCTACTATTTGATTGTCAAAGCTAATTTGTTTTTTGTTTTTTTTTTCTTTGAATTTTTCAGTAAATTTATTCCTTCAATCCGTCAACTGTGTTTAGATATTGTTGGTAATGAAAAGAATGTGACAATTATCAAGTAAGGTAGACCAAAATGACAAATATCAAATGAATGATCTGTTTTTTATTTTATTGAGAGTATACTATGTAACGTATTTTGTTTGCTATTACTCTATAAATGAAGTTTATACATTTTCAATTTTACTCTGGCCTTTCTTTGAACTTATTTATATTTTTTGACCTCTCTCATACATATTTAAATATTACATTTCATGCTAATTTGTTTTAGTATTGATAGAAAAGTATGCAAAAAATAAAATCGTCATTAAGGGGACAACAAATGTTCTTTGTTATATTGTTAATTTTTTTTAATGTTAATTTTTTATATTACATTAAATTTTAATTGGTAATTTTTTTAAATACATTTTTAACTGGTGTTGAACAGCCAACCAATTCTGAGCTTATGACAACCAATGTTCAACACTGCAGCTTTATAATTTTGAACCCAACCCAGAAGACAAAGGTTCCTTGTTAAAGCATTGGAACAAACTAGCCTTCTTGGAAGACTTTTCAGTGGAACTGAGCCATATTTACATTACATGGAGAGGAAAACCATGAGAACTTTCCATAGTTAGGGGATTCTAATCCATGATCCGTCTATGATACCGCTGGGGGTGTTCTACGTAAGCACTGTGGTCGTTGCTAGCCTGGTGCAGAATTTATGTCAACCAATCATTGCTTGGTTTTGAACCTGAGTCACCTTATTGGGAGATGAGCGTTTTATCAATACCTCTACATTATGAGATTGGATATCTCATTTATGGTAACACGTGTGAAAGCATTCTCTCTTCTATGAGAGGTTGGCTCTATTCCCTGCACCACCACTGGACTTAATCAGTTTTTCTTTGCCAATATCATAAATGAAAAGGAAATTTCAAATAATTGTTAAATATTTTTCTCCATGTCTAACAGCACACTAATATATCCAGAGATCGTTAAAATGTAAATAACCAAAAAAAATTTACTTTGATTTTGAAAATGACTGATAATTTTCGAGATTGTGGACATTTTTTTATATATAACGTACTCATTATTGAGGTTTTACTGTAACATAAAATTGCATAAAAATAATTATTATTTTTAATGTAATACTGTCCAAAAATAAATAAATTATAAAACAGAAGTATGTGTTAGTTTTAATGCACAGAAAATTATTCAAGTTAAGAAATACAACAAAATTGCAAGTTAAGTTAAGAATAAAACACTTTCTAAAATATTGAGCGTCAACTGAGAGCTCTTTGATACAAAACCAGGATTTCTTGTTCCCTGTCTATATAATATAATAATATTATATAGATATAATATTTGATAAATATTAAACAAGCTATTTTAATTTTAAAAAATATGATTCTGATATGGATGTTTATTTCTTAGGCATCGTATAAGGAAAAATGAAAGCTAGTATTTTTCGAGAAATGAACTTCCACACATCTGGCAGTTAAGAATTATTTTTGACTGCCCATTAAGTTCGGTTTAATTTTGTCTTCAAAGCCAAAATAAATCTGTTGTTCTGGCTACTCTAAAACCAGAAACCGTAATTTTTAGTGTAGTTTAAGTGATTTATTTTTCTTCTTGATAGAAAACTGTGCTTCCTAGGGGGTGTGTCACTTTTTTTTCTGTTGACTGACTTTAGCACACAAGCAGATTCAGATATGAAAAATATTTTATTCTTAGTAGTGACAAATAGTTTCTGGTTGAAAGTATACAATGAACAATACACACTCATTAGTAGAGATGTTAGTCCATTAGTTTGAATATCAAATTATTCAGCCACACCAAATAATTATTAGACTGACCAAATAATTTTCTTATCCTTTATTATTTATTAGTTCAATATCTATTGATTTTTATCATTTAAAAGAATGATAATTTAGACAGAAAAAAATTCAATTAGATGCATTAATAGGTGACGCACCTTTCTCAGACAGTTTTTTGATCTCCAGAATTTTCATTTGATACAGTTCTTGCATTGTCATTGCCAGGTCAAATTTACTCTCAATAAGTTGTTTTATCTCGACACTTAACAAAGAATCAATTCCTATTTCTCCAAACGTCCGATTAAGGAAAGACTCGGTTACTTTCGTCATTCCTGTAATAAACATAAATAAATAAATAATTTACTACTGTGAAATGGCAATAATGCATAAATTCAATATTCATAATATAATTGTTCAAATAAGTTGTTAAAACTTTTCTCTGAAATTAAAATTTACACAAAAAGTGTTCCAGAAAATGGATGCTACTTTAAATTGAATACCTAGTTGGTACCGTTAAATATTTGAGGGATACATGTCTCACACATTCGGTTAAACAAATTAAAGACACATTCGGTTTTAACAAATGAAAACTTTTTTGATTTAGGAGCCACAAAATACAAAATTGCATTACATCAAGCAAACGAATTATACAATTGTACCAATTTTAAAATTTATTTGCAGTATCTCATATGTACCAATGAAAAATTATTTTCCAAATACTCATGTACCAAAGTTTAAAGTAATTATAAATTTAAAAAAAGAGGTACCGCAGTAAATTTAAGTGATTAAAATATATTATATACAGAGAATGGGTTGTAAAATTTGATAGATGTATTCAGTCGATAAAGTTTAAGACAATCAAGAAAAAAATGAAAGATTAATTAAATAACAAATTTTGATGATAAATTTGGAGCATCCTAAATTGATGTAAAGAAATGGCCGAAAGTGATCGAAAAATAGTGGAAGGACAATTGCTTAAGTGCCACGTGAATTTAACCCAACAGCAAGGGCTCGTGGTCAAGATAAAGTTAAGGGACGACTGAATAACAACTATGAAATTTATACACAACAATAAATAAGTTGTAACTATCCTCTAGTCAAATAAATACAAAGAAAAAAAATGAGTTACTCACTTCGATGAACAAACATGAAGACGTCGAGGGACGACAAAGACGTTGAGAAAAAAAATACAAGGTATTCAGGTTCACTTATTTAATTTCTAAAATACTTTTTTTTTACAGAGGACAATCGAATCCCCTGAGTGGGGAGGGGTGTAGTTATAATAATAAAGGGAAGTAATTGGCTAAACACAAAATTGATCTAAAATAAAAAAAATGATAAATCAAAAAAAATGGCAAAAAAAAGTAGCTTTGGGGTGGTTTGGCGTGGCTCGCTGACCAAGAGGGCCAGCTTACCAGCCGCACCGCAATCCCCGAGAGAAGTGTGTACTTTTCAGTACCAAAAACGTTAATAATAATGGCGTCACTTAAGCGCGGGAAAATGCGAGTTGAAAAGCAGGAGAGAGAAAGACTGTGATTGGATGGGGGGATTATTACACGATTAGGTCACCACCAATCAGTGCAAAATAGTACTCCCACACATACAAGAAAGGCGTGAACACGCTAAAAAATTCTGGAAAAATCTAGAAAAACCGACCGGAAGAGTCACTACGTGCAAAAAATTTGAAGGTTACTTGAAAGTGATGGGAAAAGAATTTAAGTGGTGACGTAAATAGAATGTGAGGGAAGAGAATTCGTCCTTGAAGGACAGTGGGGTCAGACGACCTTGAATTGTAAAAGGAGAAAAACACAAAATGTGTTGCTAACTTAAGAGTAAAAAGAGACATTTCCAATTCTCTTCACAGAGAAAAAGTGAAGAGAAATAAAAAAAGAAAAGTGCAAATATTATAAACTATGAAAGGTTGAATTAGAATTAAAATTTAAGTTAAATTCCGGACAAAAAAAATCGTACCACGACACTGTGACATTAAACAACCAACATTAAACTAAAAAGGGATTAATTAAAACAATTAGAAAAAAAACGTCACACATCACTGTGACAACAATAAAATTATTAATTATGCTTTTATTAATTAATACTCACAATTATAAAGAATGAATTTTCTTTTTCAATCAAAAGCAGAGACATGCTATGCATTCGCCGCCTAGCCAAATAAGATAAAATCGTAAATTCAGCATAACAAACTGCATTTTGACGAAAATATTAGCAAACGATTTTTCTACTGCGAAAAAAAATTTATATAGATATAAATTTACCTCGATCCTAAAAATTACATTAGTATGAATTTCTTTTTTTGAATGAATCTTGTATTATTAGTTTGATTACAGTAATTTCCCTTACATATGTCGCGTAACTAATTAGAATTATATTTAGTCCAGTTAATCTAAAAAGCAAGACAGATTATGCAAACATTAAAAAAAAAAAAAAAANGGCTTAAAAAAAAAAAAAAAAAACGTAAAATTCAGATTAACACATTGAATGACCGATCATACGACAGCACTTGTCAAAACTCAAAATCAATCACTTCAAATCATCAGTATCAATTATGAAAGTAAATATCAATCATCACTATGCTTGCAAAAGTTGAATAAAGATAAAAGCATATTTATATTCTAGACCATTGTTACTGATTAGAAATGCAGTTTATGTGTGAAAGATTCTTGGCCTTGATCACTTAATTCTTTTGTCTGTGGGATGACAATTAAGCTATCTAATTACGATAAGCACTTGTTATTCCATTATTTTAATTCACAATTTAAACCAATTCTTAACAATAATACTTTAAAAAAATCAGTTTTAAAAAAACAATTAAGACTCACCTATAAGTTTTGTAATCTGATTAAAGACGTCAACAGTTTGCCTTTTTGTTTTCTTCGAATCAACTGATGACACATAGCTAGTCAATACAGGATGTTCAAATTTGAAGAACAAGTCTAACGTTTCCAGGCAGGACTGAACGTTTTGGGCTTGTAAACTAGGTAGCCCGGCACCAATTTTCGTATTTCTGTGTACAAGGCCAACATCACCAATAATGCCCCACTGAATAGCAAGCCCTGAAATACAGAAAGCATTTTCCAACATTTTATTTAATAATAAAACCTTAGCATAATAAAATTAGCAGAAATTTTTTTGATAAAAAGGGCAATATATATGAAAAATACAATTATTTCCATAAAGGAAATAAAATGTTTCAGTGTTTTTTGTTGTTATTTAGTAGAAATTCTGAAAATTTATTAAGTACTTAACTCGAAGCAATACCAAGTTGTTTAACCTCTTAAGGCATTTGCCCATGCCTGACATAGGCGAAAGTTACCGGCAAATTTACATATTACCGTGTCTCATACGAGCAATCTTGTTTTTTTAATTCTAATGCCCATCTGAGATCTATTCTAGTAAAAATGGATAGGCTAGATTATATTTAAATTTATTTACCATAAATGACACCACTATGCAGCATTTTTCTTGTGTAAACCATGTTGTAGATTTTGATGATTAGCTATAAGTTTGTTAGGAATTCTTTGTTATATAAATTATATAATTTAATTTTTACTAAAACTTGTTTTGAGAAAGTTATTCATTAATGAGTGATTCCGACAATTTTGAATATGCCAATTTATCAGAAAGTTTTAGCGATGAAGGTGATCTTTTGAGTTGATTTAATTAGATTTTAATATTTTTAAATTCAAAATAAACCTGTAATGAAATTGTTTAAACTTTTCTTGTACAATAATTTTTTTATAACTTTTACACCAAGCACCTCTCCCTAGTCACCCCCCACTTCTGAAATTGTGAAAAGTAACTTATACTACACCTATATATTCATTTTCTGTCCCAAAAAAAAAAAAAAAAAAATTTTTTATTGGTTTTTAGAAAGGAAAAAAAAAACTTTTGCCTTAAGAGGTTAATGAAAATGAGGCCTATCACTATATTGCACCTAGTACCAAACATCTGTATTTAAAAAATTATTCGTCTCCTTTGTTATTTTGCACCGAAGAATCGAAAATACATTTCGAGACTGTTTTTAAGTTCTCTAAATTCATATGTGCTAAAAAATTAAAATAAATACAAAATGAAGCTTTGTTTTTCATCTTAATAGTACAAAGATGAAAGTCGTGGTAAAATAAAAATTATAGCAGCATTTTGACTTTTAGCGATATTAAAATTTCTTGCTTTACTCAGAACTGTAAAGTGGAGAAAGTTTTCGATAATTTTTTAGTTCATTTTGTTTTGAGAATTACCACCAGATCTTCTTTCTTCGATTATTATTTCCATTATTGAATTAGCGAAACCATAGTTAGCCTGCCCAACGTAATCTCGACAATTACTGACTGAAAATAAGCAAAAGGTGCCACCTTTTAAAAGAATTTAAAAACTTTTCGATCGTAACAATAAACATACCGATATCAGATGAACTGTTGTTTTGACTTGCATAATAAGCAAAAATATTAAAATTACAGACAACTTTTTATGACATTGCCTCTCTGAATACAATCATATAGTTAAAGGATTACCATGAAGCCCAGATTTTCTCCTTTCTTCACATATCCTTTCCATTACTGAATTAGCATAACCATAGTTAGTCTGTCCAGCATTACCTTGACCACTACTGACTGAGGAAAAACAAATGAAGAAATCTAAATTGAGGCACATTTTTCTGGTCAATTCATCCAATATCTTTGTTGCAGCTGCTTTGGGGGCACAAACATCTTTGAAACTCTCTGGACTCTGACAATTCATGAAGGCATCTTTTAACACCTATAATTATTAAATATAAGAAAGCCTGATCATTGGTCGAAATTTGTGAGAATGTGATATGATTAAGGTGACCGGACGTTCTCAAAACTTGAGGAATAGTCCTCAAATTTCAATAGCTATCCTCCGAAATTTTTATCAGTATTTTAGTATCAGGTACTTATTACGAAAAATTAGGTATCATTAATAATAGTTGGGTGATTTTTTTATTGTCCAATTTTTGCATAATTTTTATTATGATAGCAATTAATGGCTATGGAACAATCTTTTTGAAATATTAGATCATGACTAAATTTGTGTGAAATTTTTTACTTTTGCTTGAATTTTTATTAGAAGTCAGGAACTAATTGTTACTGTCAGGACTCTCTATGCACGAAGTGTAAATTCCACTAATTTTAGTTGAGGTTAATTTCAAAGCTAAAAGTTCAAGCCTTAAATTTTTGCTTTAAAATTAATACATTGTAAAGTTTTTTATAGCTACATATTTTTTTATTAGTATTAATACAATTTCCTGCTTAAGTATTTACTTACTTCCATTTTAAGAATTCCATTTTTTCTCATTTCAGTTTTAATAGAAGTTATTAAAATTATACTAGATAAACCTCTTTAAGTGATAGTGATCAAGAGTAGTCTTTTTCATTTTTTTTTCAATCTAATTTTTTTTTTTTAAAGAAGCTTTATTTTTTACAAAACCAGCTTGATGTTCTGTTCATGGAAGAGTTTTTTACGTATAAGAATTGTGACCTATGACAAATTGTAATTAACGCACATGATATTGGGTGTCCGAAAATTCGCGAATTTCAGAGAGTATGTACTACCAGAAGAAAATAAAACATAGAAGTTATTTACCAGTACATTCTATAGATCAATAAAAAAATCACCAATTTTAGATGGAAATTTTTTTTTCCCCTGACTTTCTCTATCAAAATTACTTCTGTGAATTTTGAAACCCAATTCATATCCAGTAATCTTAGCTCGTACATACAAGAATCATTACTGAAGAAAATCGCTCTTTAATAAAATAGCTAACAGCATATTAAAGGGAAGTGTCGGAAAAGTATGTCTGATAAATAATTAGAACGAAGAATTTGCAATCTGATAGGATTTTGATAAGGTGCGAATATAATTTCCAGGCCTAATACCTCCTGAAAACTCTATTTGTTTATATACCCATTTAATATACGTTTCCAAGCAATGTCCACCTGGGGATGAGATATCCTGGTTGGTAGGCCTATGATAAAGGGGTTCTGAGTTCAATCCCCGCTGGCCGAAGAATCTTCGTGTACAAAATGGTGACTGGAACACACTAAATCGGTCGGGGTCACAAAGTTTTCCAAATTCCCTTAACAAGTCAATACCTCTGGAAGTACTGGTTCGGATATTGAGCGTGCTTTGGTTCAGGTCAAAATTATGATATGCAGATTGATGGATGGTGTGGGAATGTATCCTTGTGAAACGGGCTGTGGCGTATGTGTGTGTGTGTCAGAAGTCGAATTCTTGGCCATAGGTTACGCCAGTGGAATACAAGAAAAAGCACACCCTTCTGTCTTAAATAGACTTGTAAGTAGTGACCTGTTGCATAAGATAACAACAAGTAATGTCCACCAACTACGGTGTTTCCCAAAGTGTGGTACGCGTACCCCCAGGGGTACGGGTTCTTATGCGAAATATCTTGAAACAAACGAAAATTTCAAAAAATTTTATTTGAAAATAAAGCTAGCCATGAAAGCTTACGATTACGTATTTTTCTATTGGCTATTTTTTGCAGAGTTAACAGCTAATAATTTGTGGTATCAACAGCCAGTTGTGATTTTTAACTTTTGTGCAATTTTTTTATAGTAAAATATACATTCATTTTTTTATTAGTGGTACACAGCGTTACGAAAATTTAGAAAGGGTACGCAAAAGTTATAAGTTTGGGAAACAGTGACCTACTATAATTTATGCATTTCTGGACTATGATATGAAAGTTTCAGAAACAGTTTTAAAAGTTCTCTTTCGACACTTAGGTTTTCTTTGCGACTACGACTGTCCTTAATTACTTTTCTCTTTAGCATATGTTTTAGGTTTCGTGGTTGTGGAAAAGAATCATTCACCATAATCTTGAGATAACTCACATGAAAATTTTGTTTTTGAAGCTGGAAAATTTTATAATTCAACGGTTTAAAGATGTTTAAGAGCTTTAGAGTTGAAGAGCATTCCGAAATTGAACTTTGACAGCTGTTCCTGAAATTTCTTTTACAGCTCTGTACAGAAGTGAATTACATCATGTAGTGGTTACTTCGAAAAATAAGTACAAATCATAACGTTGTGAGAAGTAGATTAGTCCTGAAAATAAATTGCCTCCCCTTCTTTTTGTTTTGTAGTAAATTATACAATTTGCCAATATCAGCAAGCCCGCGTGAAATCAAGCTATAACAGAGGATGTGTTTCTTTTTTTTCAGTGGCGCGATCTATGGCCAAGAATACGACTTTAGCCACATAAGTCACAGCCCTTTTTGCAGGGAGCACCCAGTCATACTTCATTCATTTATCCACAGACCGTAATTTTGACCTGAATCAGAGAACGACCCGTCTCCAATTGAGTACCCCCAGAGGTATTGATTTGTTATAGGAACTTTGTGACCTCGACAGATTTAACGTGCACCAGTCATCATTTAATACACGGGGATTCTTCGGCCTGCGGGATTCGAACTCAAGAACACGAGCCCAACGTCCTACCGATTCCGGCTCTTTCCTTTCTTGTACTATAAGTGAACAAAATTGAATTTATACTTACTACTGCGGAATTGAATATCCCTCCAATTTCACTTAATTTAGAAGCCTCTTTAAGCAACTGTTCTGCTTCATGCTGTTTTGAAACATCAAGCGTTAAGACTTGAACAACGCTGCCTTTTCTATTCCATTTGTTGAGCCAATATTTTTGATGGGGAGTACTGACTCCTCTTCTAGAAGTTATGAAGATGTTCTTTCCACCTTTCGTCAGTATCCATTTTGTAACTTCCATTCCAAAACCGCCTAGGCCTCCTATTACTATATAGGATTTACTAGGATAGAAGTAGGTGATCGGAATCGCTTGCATTGTTAAGCATTTTGGTGGTGTAATCTTCGACGGTTCTTCATCTCTTATCTAAAATGATGCACCGCATCACAATGCTGGTTATTTATCATAATCTGACATTATATTTTTATAATAAAATAAAGATATAAAAATACAACATTTTTTAAGTGGAGAAAATAATTCGATTTTTGCCACTTTCGCAAGACAAGGAATTTTGATGGTGATAGAAGCTTATTGCGGAAGTGCCCCACCCTCTGTTCATTTTTCTTTTGTCCAAAAAAAAATTATTATTATTTTTTTAATAAAAATAAGTAAATATTCCTTTTAGTGATAAGTAATTTGTCTAATGTGAAGTATCGAAATAAGAGACTTTTGAATAAGTTTTTGCTCTCCGAAAAGAATTACTATCTTGTTATTTCAGTTTGAGTTCAAATGCGTATACATGTTTGATCATAATTAAATTTATTTCAATAACTATATAAAGGTTTTAATGTAATGGTGTGTGTTGGATATTCTATTTACTTTACATTTCGATAACAACTGGATCGTGATAAGTATATGATGGATGGAGTCAAATTGTTGGTTACCACCATTTAAAATGGATTTCGATTGCCCGATCGGACATCCTGTTTTTGGGACATGTTGGTAGGTAGGCTACACACACTTGCCAATGAATTAGAAACTTAACTTTCCTGGCATCGCGAGTCTCAGATCTTAACTAAATCGAAAATGTTTGCGAAATGTTAGTAATGCACATCTGGCCGCAATCTTTTCTTTCAGAAATAGTTTACAATCGGGGACAACTCTTATATTCAGCTATCTGGAAATAGACGAATATATATGAAAATAAACCAAGAATCGATCACATAATGTTCAACAAAAGTTGCGGTAACCCGAAAGTGACGACATTAAAATTAAAGACAGTGGGCAGTCCGTGCACGATTCTTACCCTATCACTTCAATTTGTTTCGATAATACTTAAATCATAGAATCAGAGCAATGCAGCAGAATCAATGTGGAGTAGTGAAACGTTGACTCCGTTCGTTTAGGCCAGTGTTTCCTAAAGTGTGGTACTCGTACCCCAAGGGGTACGGGAACAGTTTAGCGGGGGTACGCGTTCTTATGCGAAATATCTTGCAACAAACGGAAATTTCAAAATATTTTTTTAAAAAACAAAGCTAGCCATGAAAATTTACGATTACATATTTTTCTATTGGCTATATTTTGCAGAGTTAACAGTTAATAATTAGTGGTTTCAACAGCCGGTTGTGATTTTTAACTTTTGTGCAATTTTTTATAGTAAATTTTTTTTTATTAGTGGTACACACAGTTACGAAAAATTTAGAAAGGGTACACGACAAAAGTCATAAGTTTGGGAAACACTGGTTTAGACGAACCAGCTGGTCGCTGCAGGAGGCCAGTTATTTAATAAATGGATAGACCTCTATTTAATTTTCAAATTTGTGCAAGAAAATATAGTAAATTAATAAGCAGAATGATGTTTTTTTTTAAGAGTATGTGAACAAAATTGTAAAAAGCGTATTTTTATCTCAGTTTTTTTTATAAGTCAGACCATTTACTTTTAATTATACCTAGACTGACTGTAAGTTAGTTTGTAGTAGTTTGAATTATACCTAAACTGTATGTTAGTTTGTAGTATTTCTTTCGATGTCTAAGACAGGTAGATATTAAGTTGTGTTTTTCAAATATTTATTTAGTTTTTTTTTTCTCTGGAAAAAATTAGGTTTGTGTCAAATACGAATTAATTTAAGTTGTCGTTTCTATCTAGGCCTATTATTAATGGTTGATTTTAAATATGCGAGGTTAAAATATTAGAGATTAAAAAATTTCTTATAAGGTTTAATTTAACATTGTTGAGGTAAAATGCTTATTTAATTTCGTTTAAATTTGTTTTATCAAGAAAATTCTAGTTTTAATAAATTATTTTCAATTAAATTTTTTATGCTATGTAATTTGGAGCATGGTGAAAATCATGGCATTGGAAACCAGAGCCAGCAAGCAATACCTTTGAAAATAAGAGGAAAACATTTTTTTAAAAATATTCATAAAAACAGGCCACCTCTGTAGAAATTAATTTTCAAATTCTTTCTCCAAAACAGACAACTTGTCAAATTTTAATTTTGTGAGATAGCTGAATTAACTGTTAACCGAGCTTATAGCGAAAACGTAAATATTTTCCTCATTAAAAGGCCTCATATTTGCTATGACTATGAGATCACCACACCAAGTTGGCAATCACTTTTTGAATTGTTAAAATAAAATTCAAACTGTGGGACGCAAGACCTTTTCAGTCGAAGAGTGTCTTCTTGGGCCTGAGTGCCTACAGTGGATTTGATACTGCTGCCTTGTGGTCTTTTCTAGTCTGGTCTCCTCTGCCTGTCGAGGCGATTTGTATCGCTTTTGTCGTGCGTGGTTCAGGACCAAGCGCTACTGTGTCCATGCACCACTCGTTCCACCACGATGATTTCGAGGAGCTCTTGTAACTCTGGGTCACTGATGTTCCTGGATGACCCCTTGCGGGGGCGGGTCAAGGCTATGCTACGCTTTTCCTTTCTAGAACATACGCAAAGCAAAGCCCGTTACGTTTTAGAACCAGTTGAACAATCTCTTCTTGCTTCAGAGATCACCTTACTTACGAGGCAAACATATAATGAACATTCTAACGGAAATAGTTAAGAGACGCCGCCTCATTCATATTTAAGAGATATTGCTTCACAAAAATAATGTAAACATTTCTTATAAAGAGTATATTATTTAAAGTTTTAGAGTTAGACTAAATACTTTGTTGCAAGTTAAGAAAAAACCACTATTCCTATAGAAAGATCCTGTTTGCATCTAAGTGCAAGCCAAATGGATGAAAAGCTCCCAGCGTGTACGTATATCAATATTGCCAACTCTTGAAACGACGTTACACAACCTCCTTTTTGCTTGCTTTCTTATTATTAATAATAACAGTTATTAGCAAAATTAATCAATTAGCAAGTACTAAGACTTAATAAATATGATGTCTAAAAATCGTAACAAATTTACATCTCTCTGTTCATATCTAAGGAAACTGATGAAAGAATAATAATGATAAAGAATAACAATAATGGGATACCTGCAAGTGACGCATTGTGGGTATCTCGGTCCTGGTTGTTGAAACGTGACATTTGTTTACGTTAGCACTGTTCCGTCCAATTTCGAGGAAGCCAAGCCCGTCAAGTATCAAATTTTTTCAGTGACATAATCTATATTCTTTCACAAAGATTTCAATTTTTTCGCCATATATTTCTTATTTAACACAAAGACGGGCACGAAGCCGTGGGGAACATAAACAAACTAATTATGCATCAAAGTCGCCAGATACACAATACAAAAATATATATCACGGTTACAATAAAATACATAAACAAGTAATAAATCTAAGCTAGGTAAAAGACGTTGACGATACAGAATTATATTTCAACAAATTCGAGGTGCGATATGGTGCCCGTCGTTGAACAATTTTGTGTTTACGACTACTAATGTTTAACTCCGTAGCCTTGTAATTTTGAACCAATCCAGAAGACAAGGAAACTCCTGGCTCAATACCCCCAGAGGTATTGAGTTGTTATGGGAACATGGAGGGCTTTTTGACTAGACAGATTTAACGTGCATCAGTCACCACTCACTACACTGGGAGTCTTCGGCTGGCGGGGATCGAATCCACGAACTCTTGGACATGGGTTCAGTGCCCTACCAACCTCAGTGCTATCTCGGCCCTATGGTGCTTTATTTAATTAATTTCACGTTAATTAACATTCTTACATATGTAAAGAAACGTAGCTCAACACGCCATTTTGCTAATGACTATCAGCTGACGTCATAGGTCACATGTATGGGTATCCGAGATCTTCTTACAGCGCAAGTACCCAATTGTTTCTTTCAGACGATTTTCTTCTGCAGTAAAATAAAACAAAAAATCTTTTATTTGATTATAGTTCAGAGCGTGTCAGCATAAGACGCGTCATTTTTGGTGATCTGATCAAATCCAATGTTCTTGCAACATATAGGGGAGTGTCGGTTACCCTCGCCCACTGTCAATTTCATATGTATAGAATATTTTTTCAAGTCAATGGGCCATCGGACATTAATTGTTACATTAAAAAAAGATTATTTTCAAAGTTTCAAGTATTTATGCAGCTGGTAACATCGTAAACAATAGAATATGTTGAATACAGTAGTCAAATTCTTTAAATTTCTATTTTTTTAAGTTAAACTTATTCTTTTTTTGGTTTATTCTTTTTGCATGATTTAATTAGATGATAAAAGAATAGAAACATACAAAAATATTAATTGATACTCAATATTATACAGAAATATAAGCAATACTCTTTAAGTGGGCGGGGCTACCCGACTCTCCCCTAGCTGTTTCTTATTCAAGAACAAATGTTGTCCCTATGTATCGAAATATTTTAAGTCTAGGATTCCAGTATAGGGCTATGAAATCTTTATTTTTTTAAATTTCTATGATTTATATATCTCAAAAGATAGCACGAATTAAATTTCTGTCTGACATGTTTAACTTTTAAAAGCTTTTACATAGTTAAGAAAGCATATTTGTATAATTTGATAACTAAATAACTATATGCAGTCGCAGATGATTACTTAAATCTTATACCGCAATGATCGTTTCTTAACTTGCAACGGATTATAAATATCGCATAAAATAACTCTCAAAATGAACTAACCTCTATGAGAACTTTCCCAACATGTATACCTCTGGACATAAATCTAAAAGCAGCTTCAATTTCGTCTCTTCTAAATACACTTCTATGGAGCGGTTGGACTACACCACTTTTTATACCTTCTCTTACTAGATCCATAATTTTCGAAAATTGCGACCGATTTCGAGGCGTGTCATCGAACAGCGCATCAAGCATTATTCCTTTGAAGCTAATGTTTTCAAGGAATACCTTCATATCTGTGAGAGACGAAATAAATGTGCTCTATTATATTGAACAAACAAAATAAAAACATCATTATGAGAAAATAAAATAAAAAGTTTAAAAATTAAGTTAACATAAGGTGGTCGACTATTACGATTTATCTGTAATTTAATGATTTCTTAGTCAAAATCACGGTGGTTTTGTGGTTGAGTACTAAAAATTTACGGATTTTGGAGAATTTTTGAGAGAATCTATTTAAAATGAATTTTTCCCCCTTATCTACCAAGAGTTAAGAAATTTTGTTGTCTGCAACTAATTTACGATAGACTAAAGTGAAAACAAAAGTGAATGAAACACAAAAATGCGTGAATCAAATACAGAAATGAACATACTATAGTTTTGGTTCTCCAGACAAGAACTTTCCTCGGTGTCTAAACACCAAACAGCATTAGAAAGACAAAGAGATAAACGCGTACAACATGGTTTAACCAATCAGGACTAAGCAACATATTTGAACAAGATGCTAAAAAGAGACGGATGTGAGAGGATTTGGCGCAGACGCCAGATCTTAGAATAGATTTCCTTACATAGGGATAGGGTGGGATACTTGAAAGATTATTAACTAAAATATCAGAATTTTTCAAAATATGGAGTGATTCCCAGAAATCAAGTTCGGTAGTTGAAGATCAGTGTTTAATGAGTTTAGCAGAAGAAAACTGAACTCTATGATTAGAATTCAAACTATGTGAAGCGATAGAAAATTGTTCAATATATTGATTCTTGACATATCCTCCAGGCTCTTTAAATCGAAGTTTAAAAGTACGTTTATTTAGTGCATTTAAACAAGTTTTATTATTTTTTTTAAAAACTGCTATGAATGCCTTGATCATTGTTAATACAGATTTATTATAAATTTAGCAGTGGAGCAATTCAGTTCAGTTCATTTTAAAGCAGAATATGCATCATTTTCATAATTCAATGTAGTTTAAAATTTTAAAAAAGAAAAAAAAAGAATATTCAATTTTTAAAAATCAATAAGCATGTACTTTTTTAATACTATTTAAATGTTTTTGTGCTCTTTCCCTATAAAAAAAAATTTTTTTTTTGATTTAGTTGATTTTTTGGTCGGATATAATGCAAATTGTCATGTTTGTTACAATTATTCCTTTTATTTTTATACATTTAAGATAGCAATATTTCAGACATAATTTTAATATTATTAATACCACATACATCAAATTTTTTAATGAAAAAGCTTGTAACTAATGTCATGTCTGTTGCAAGTTTTTCATGTCTCATTTATAAGATAGTGTAACAAACTTGACATTTCAAAGTATAAAAATTCGGAAAACTAAATAATTCTAAAAAATATTAAAATTCAATTTGATTTAGACTTAACACTTAGTAATGAAAGTTAGCCAATTGAATTAATGAATAAATAAATATTTTTGCGAAACTGACTATGGTAACAAACATGACGTAATAAAACTGTCCCTACCATTAAAAGGGTTCATCAACTAAACATAGAACATTCGAAATATCTGCTTCTTTTCTCACAGCCTTCAAAAATAAAAAGAGTGCAGACATGCTGAAGTGCGATTTGCTGAAAGTGATATTTAGTTGGGCAAAAACTTCTTATTTTATTAATTGCTTTTTGTTACTCTGTTAGAATGTAACCTAGAGCATTTAATTTAAGTATAAGATATGACAGAGTAGAATGTTTTAATTCTAGAAAGTAATTTTAATTCACGATACGAAATGGATATGGAAAATCATCAATGCTTCGTGTAGAGTGACGTCATACGAAACCACGCCTTGTTTTCGGTCACAAGATTCGATTCTTAGCGATTTTGAATTGCTTTTAACTCTTGAATTTTTAGGTTTTGCTGATTTTTCCGTGGGTATTCGATTTAATTTCAAGATTGATTTAACTAATATAACCGATTTTTTATAGATTTTTGCGACATATCGCTTATTTCCCATTAAATAAGGATTAAATAATTAATTTTTTTTCACACGCATATATTAATTTTTTTAGACTCTTAACCCATTATGTTCTGGCTGGACTTATAAGACCCACTAATATTATTTCTATATAGCTATCCCTGTTATATGATTTCCCGTTTATCATTGCTAGTTCACAACACACAATTATTTAAAGATGAACATTACCAAAGAAATTATTTAAGAAATTTCGTTCGAAGACAGCATTTTATTATTCCTCAATTTCATTCTTCAATTCTGAGATTTCTATCTTGATCAATTTTACAAGTAAGTTTTTCAAATTTTTTGATTGATTCGTTAACATTTTCAACTAGTTATAAAACAAAGTATTAAATGCTTAATACTTTAATTGAAGTTTTATAAAGTGGTATAAGTTCGAAATTAAGAAATTTTATGAAAATTTTGAATATTTAATGGAGGAAAAAGTTTCGCCCATTTTGAAAAATTCTAGGAATAAAGAGTTAATCTATAACTAATTTAGTTTATATTTGTATTTGTTGTTAAACAAAATATACTTTCAGCATAAAATTAATTACGAAACATATTTACCTAATTTTCTATTGAGTGATAAATCATATTTTCCAATTTCCAAAAATTTTCCATGTGTGGCGACGCAGCGAACACTTGCCTGGAATTTGTCGTCAGCTAAAGAATTCAGAACGATATCTACTCCTACAGGAATACAAAAAAAGATAAGCCTGAAATAAGTATTGCTGAGAAAGTTTTTATGGAAATTTTACTTTATCGTTGGTCTATCGTCGTTTTTTTTTTTTTTTTTTTTTTTTTTTTTTTTTTTTTTTTTTTTTNTTTTTTTTTTTTTAGAAGTATAAAAAATTTATGTGTTGAAAAAATATTTTTAAATTGAAACATATTACATTGACGCCTGTATAATGAAAATTATTTTGTACTCAGGAATGGCGGATGTTAATCAGCCCTCATCCGTTTATGATAATTTCGTTTCATTCTGTTATGGCTTAATATAGAGTTCGATAATTTTGTCTTCGACTTTTAAAGAAGATGCCCGAATAAAGAGTATACTTTATTAATTGTCACACATTTTTTTTAAAGTAAATATTGGATACATTTTTGTAACATGGAATAACTATTAAAATTTCACTAAATATTAGTGTAGTTAGAAATTTTGATTTAAAATTTTCAGTTGCTGTGGATACATAATTTGAATATCCGACTTCCAATGAAATGACTTACAAAAGGGAAAAGATTTTTTGGAGAGACATTATTCGCCTCCAATAAAATTAATTTTATTAATCATAGTTTCTCCACTCATTGTTTGAGAAAGATAAGCTATGCATTTTTATCTCCTTTTAAAGACCGAGAAAAGGTAAGCACTTTTTTCTCTAACGTATGCAGCGCCCCTCTGCGGTAGTTAGCACAGTTAGAAGACGAGTTTAATGTTTTCATAAAAGACGAGTTTAATTTATTTTTAATTGAATGTAAGTTTGAAGTATGCATAGGATTTTTCTTAAGCAAGAATAATCTTGTTTAAGAAATTTCTTAATAAGAATGGGGAAGGGTCTTTAAAAATATCACACAAAAAAAGAAATTAGTTTTAAATGTTGGCCTTAAAGAAGCTTCCTTTCTTTCTATTTTGCAAGAAAACCTTATTGAAGGTTTTAAAAATAATAATTTTGTTAAGTTTCATCAGTTTGGCCTTTAAGTACAAAAACGAATATATTTATTTAGTTACATACAATATATATTTTTAGTATTTTAATATTTTTAATACATTATAATATATTTTTATTATATTTTTTATAAATCATTATTGTTGCTGATTTGTTAATGTAAATAAAATGTGAGAACTACCTTATTGTTCCACGACAGAAAGCCGGAAGGAAATATATGATTCTTACCTTTTCCCCCTGTTCTATTTTTTATCATAATTTCAAAACTTTTATTTCTCGAGCTTCCGATGTTTTCCTCTTTCAGTTGAGGGAAAAGTCGGCGTAGATATCTTCTTTTCTGTTCATTACCTTTAAATTGTGAAAGAAATTGTTTAACACTTATAGTTAGTCAACAAAATAAAATACTAATCATCTACAATGAGCAGCAGTTGCAAAGGGGATTGAACATTCTTCTTACAATGAGATTGCAAAGATTCGAATCCCAGCAGTGGCTGGTTGATAAGAATTCTGCCTCCGGCACTTATTACAGTGCTGACGTAAAATATCATCAGTGCTAGATGGATCATGGGTTAGAACCCCTTTGCCGTCAGGCTAACCGTGAGATATTTTCTGAAGTTTTCCTCTGCATGTACCGCAAATATGCATGTAACGTAATCTGTATGTAACGCATGTGGGTTAGTTCCATTAAAGAGTCCTCTACGAAGGCTAGTTTGTCTTAATGCTTGATCCTGGAGTTTCCTTGCGTTCTGGGTTGGGTTCAAAATTATTAGGCTACTGAGCTGAACGATGATAGTTGTAAACTCAGAACCGGGTCAGCAGTTCAACGCAGGAAATAAAATTATATAATCACTCTGAATAATTTGAAGAAAAAAAATTAATACGCTAGGCCGGAATGTTCATGGTTCGAAAACATCATCTAAAATTAGGTAACTAATAGTTTTAACTGACAAAATTTAGAGACGTAATAACTCGAGAATTTTAAAAAGTGCTTATAACAAATTTCTAAATAAGAAAAGAGAATGAATTTTGTTTGTGAAAATGTAAGTGCGCAAAAACAAATCGATCACCCTGAATGACTTTTGATCTAATGATCGAATCTTCACGTTTTTGGACCCAATCTTAATGATTCAAGAGGGGGTCCTTAAATAAGCTAATTAGTAAGTTCAGACGATGTTTTAAGATACGAAATCAGACACAAAAACGTACTTTCTCTGAATAAACATACCTTTTTTTGACGAATTCATATTTCTGACCCCCCAAATCAGCCACAATCTGGGAAATACGGTCCCCATAGTTTTGTCTGGAGAGCGACCCAAAATTTCGACCCCATAATGTTAATTTTACTTTTTGTGTATTTCGCCACATCTTTTAAGAGAGTTAAAATAAAATTGCCAGCAAATTGTAAAATTCGTTTATTCAAAAATAATTCCACATAAAAAATAAATTTTAACATATATTTATTGATTTTTATTATTTTATTTAATAATAGTCGAAAAGATTTTGAATTGTAAAGTATACAATTTTTTACATCATTTCAAAGCATCTAATTTTACATAGCAAAATACAAAATTTGAGTAAATTCGGTTGAATAATTCCTGAGAAATCGAGTTTTAAATACCTTTGGATCACTCTCCTGACGAAACTAATAGTATCATATTTCCCAGATCGTGGCTACCCTTGATATTACGGAGGTCAGAAATCCGAATAACGCGGAAAAAAGGTATGGTTTATTCACAAAAAGTATGTTTTTGTGTCTGATTTAGTAACTTAAAATTTCGATTGCTCTAAATACACTGCTGGACAATTGCTAAGGACGGATAACACTATCATCCATAGCAACCACAAAATGCAAGGAAGCAAAATGTGGAAAATTAGAATAAGTGCGGGAAATAGTAAGAAGAGTTATGCGTATGCAAATTTTTTTTTCCACGTCTGTTCATCACGTGATAGCGCTGATAAGATCTTGAAAGGTTTTGACGCGTGTGGAGAGTTGTTGTTTCAAGTCAAAGTTTTACAGCAAAGATTTAGTTGACGAACTTGAAATTTTCGGCATGTCTTCCCCATAGCATTTAGATGATTTTAAGTTTGGCCGAATTATTGGAAAGATCTAAGAAGGGCGAAAAATAACAGATGTTGCCAGGAAGTTCGACATCGCTCACAGCGTTGTTTCACGGCTGTGGAAATCATTTAAAACTACTGGTAGTAAATGTTTGTATCATGGTTGAAGACGGCAAGCAACGAGAATATTAGTTTTTATATTACGACAAATGCTGTATTGAGATCTTCAAAATGTTCAAATTTTTTTTAATTTAATAAAGTTTTGAAATTACTTCAAGTCAAACAGATTTATCTGTACCATCAAAAATAACTAGTTTTTCTGAACTGTTACTGCAGGCCTTGACGGCAAGTCCTGACACTTGTTAAGAAATATCGTGTTAAAATTTACATTAAGTTTAATTTACCGTACTAGAAATAAATGGCCCATGAAAGAGATCATGACATTATGTTTGAAGGTTTACTGTCGATAGAAACATAGGCATCAAAATATTTCTGCACTCTGAGCATGAAAAATACAAAAAAGTCATAGAACTAAGAACAATTTAAATAGATTTTGTACTAGACGTCCCTCTGGAATAGAACTACAGAACTCTCATTCGTGGTGGTAGTGCCTTTTTTTTTTAATTAAATTTTGCACATGATATATGAA